TTTTTATACATTTTCCTGGTGGATACCACATCCTTATCGGATGCGTCATACCCATTCGCTCTTGCTCGCACCGATGACGTTCAATCGCTCTCACTCACACCAATACCTCATGCTGTTCACCTGACGCCCGTTCGGTCGCTCTCACTCACACTCACATTGATACCGTTTGATCACTCTCGCTCACACCAACGTTCCCATGCTGTTTATCTAACACCCGTTCAATCGCTCTCGTTCATACCAACACTCATACCCGTTCGATCGCTCGCACTCACATCGATGCAGTTCGATCGCTGTCACTCACACTCACACCCGATGCCGTTCGACTGCATTTGCTCACACCAAACGCTCCATGCTGTTCACCTAACACCTATTCTTTACTGTTGTGTTTTTTTTAAAGTAGTTGTTTAATAAAAAAATGATATTAAGATAAGAATGATTTCCTTTTACGCAGTTTTTACATATTTTCCTGTTGGGATACCACATCCTTAACGAGAATTTTTTATAAGGTATCTATTTTTATGCAGTACGTTTGATGGGGGACTATGGTATATAAATGCGTATGGGTGAGGCTTTTTCATCATACGCATTTTTCTGGAAACGTTGTGTTGTAGTGATAGGTTTAATAATAATGAGCAATTTGCAGAATCTGCTAGAGATCGCATATAAGTTTCCAGTGGACGGAGTAAGTGTGTTTTTACATTAAATATTGTTTATTTGTATTTACATTTGTAATGTTAAAATATAGTGTTATATTTTTCAGTACATCACTGTTGACAATGAGCGTATCTGCGAGTTACAATTAGCAAATGAGCTCAAAATCCTTAAGATCCCGTCTGTAAGTATAGTAGAATTTATAATATATGACGTATAAATAACAATATATATCTAATTCACTTTTATGCTCTGTTTCAGACTACACACCGTGGAAATATTCATATTAAAGGATATATGAATATTTTAACTAGACAAATGATACGCGCGGACAGACGGGCCGAACGAGAATTTCGAGCAGAGTATATGGATATCTGGGACGACGGGGAGTTATTTCTTAATGAGTTATTCGGTCTCCGAACGTATGAACCTAATGTTGCAGAGGACATGTGGGAATGTAAGTTTAAATATTTAATTGATATAAATATAACTTTTAAAAAATATGTACATATTTATCATTTTACAGAAAGCTGCGGCTTGTTTGCGAGACGTCACGCTCACACACACTGTGGTGTTATAGAATAATAAGTATCAATATTATTGTTCTATAGCGTGCTCACACGCACACTCCCAACCATGTATTTATAATTTTTGAGAGACGTTACGCTCACACACGCACTGTGGTGTTATAGAATAATAAGTATCATTATGTTGTTTTTATAACATGTTCACACA